GGGCCGGGGGCCCGGGGCTCGGCGCGGCCCGGGAGCCAGCCCCCTCGGCTCCTCCCCCGCCCGCCCGCCGAGCCCCGGGGCACACCCTCCGTGACGTGGCGGCCCCCGGGGAGCCCACGGGGGTTGTCCCGTCGTTCCCGGGGACCCCCACGGTTCCGCGAGCGGGAGGGTTCCCCGGGGCCCCCGCGGAACCACGCTGGCCGCGCCGAGGCCCGTGTGCGTCCGTGCGCGTCCGTGCGTGTCGGGAGGTTTTCTCTGCCGGCCACGTCCCCTTCCCCAGCCCCGGGCCGTGTCCTCGCGCCCCTGGCCGGTCCGAACCGAGGAACTCGCTTCCCCGCTTGCTCCGCGGCCGTCCCCGGGCCTTAGCACCGGCCAGTCGCTCAGCCCACCCCCGCGAAGGCGTCGGGGAAGGCCCCCCGGGAAGAGCGGCTTCAGCGCGCTCGCTTCCCGGCCCGGGCTGCGTTCGGGCCCCAGCCGTTTCATTCTCCACCACGTTGGAGGAAACGCTGCGCGGCGGCCGTTGGGGGCTGCGAGCACACGGGCTTGCTCCGAGCAGCGTGGTGCCTCCTCGTGGCCCAGCTCGCCCTGGGCCTCGGGCCCCGCGGAGGGTGGGGTGCTGCGCCGCGCTCTCCGGTCGGCTCCGTGCGGAGCGAGGGGGCGCGCCTCCCAAACATCCTTCTGAGGACCGCGTGGAAACCTAATTCGGCCTGGGCTCCCCCGATGGGCCTGCCCTGCCCACATAACTCACCTCTGCAGACCTCCTCTCCAAGAGAATGCCCCTTGATGAATCTGCGCACTTTGTGTACGTTTTCAGGGAGTTCAGAGCCCCTTCCCCCAGCCCATCCATGGACTCCTTTAAATTTTCCCACTCATCCTGTGGAGTAGGTATTGTTTTCCCTACTTTGGAAAGAACAGAAACTGAGACACCAAGGAGTTAAGGGTTTTCTCAAAAATAATATAGTCACTCAACTGAACGGTCCCAGTCGCACTCCCATCCCTGATCCCGATCCACCTGCCTTCCTCTGCTTCATGTTGCACTACAGGAAGTAAAGCCTGCCTTTCATTATAAACAGCTAACGTTATTTCCCTTTTGCAAAGCATGTGCGGGCTGGAAAGAATTTCCAGGATATTTAAAATGAGAACAATGAAGATACTTTAGAAAATATGAATATAAAAAGGTGGGGGGATACCAGGTAGACATAATCCCTTGTTTCCATGCGGGTTGATCTATCAGTTCCTTTGATTCTTGCCGTCCAGTTGCTTCAACATTCCCTGATTCGAGGTGCTATAAATTATGAGCAGGCTGGTTGCACAGAGGGAGCCTCTCCTTAAAGAATAAGTGCTTCCAATGGGTATTGAACCTGTGCTGTGTGCCCAGCTCTGTTCTTTGGGCCTTCCTCTTAGAATGACAAGTTAGGTACTATCATTTTCCATATTTACAGTTGAGGACATTGAGGAAGGGAGACGTTAAGTGACCTACCAAGGTCACGCAGCTAATGAGCTGGGATATGAACCCAAGCAGTCTGGTTCTAGGCTCTCCACTTAATGGCCTCTCAAAGTAGGTCATCTGATTACATCACAAATCTATATAGTGAATTGTTTTCAGAGGATGGCATATATGTTATGCTTCACATTAAAAACTTCACAAACCTAATGCAGTTCTTCTTGGTGATTAAAAAGAAACTTCAGGATAGCTTGTAATACTTACCAGTCATCATCCATTACGAGTATCGGATGTTGCTGATGGCCCGAGAAAAGCTTTTATGTTATTTGGATTTGATCCCCTTGATTATGATTTACTAGATGTACATGTGTGCATTAGATACTTGAACACCCTTTTGCAAACTGAATTTTCCTGTTTTGAACTTGTCTTCATCCTGTAGGCAATAAATCTTTAATACTTTGGGAAATGTTTAGTTAGTCAGCATGGACTGTGTTAGGACTCTGGCCTCTGGGGACAGTGGAAGCCTAGCTTCTGGTTTATATGTCACTTTTCCTGCCTCTTTTTCATGCAGCTGTATGACTTTGACTTTCAAGATCCTCTTCCTCCCAACCCTCCGCGCACTTGGGCGAAAAGAACTCTGCCTCTTCGGAGAACAACATCGCTGGCCTGACAGAAGACAGTTCGGCCATTGGTCAGAAACAGAGCTGTTTCATGGGCACGGCCTCCTCCAGAGAAGAAAGGCCGTTCTGTCATCCCAGAAAGGCGGTCTAAGACCACGTGCCACCCACCTTGTTTTCTTGCCAGGGTCGCATGTGGGACTCTGCAGTGGCCCCTGTGAGATGGCCGAGCAACGGTTCTGTGTGGACTACGCCAAGCGTGGTACGGCCGGCTGCAAAAAGTGCAAGGAAAAGATCGTGAAGGGCGTATGCCGGATCGGCAAAGTGGTGCCCAACCCCTTCTCAGAGTCCGGGGGCGATATGAAAGAGTGGTATCACATTAAATGCATGTTCGAGAAACTGGAGCGGGCCCGGGCCACCACAAAAAAAATTGAGGACCTCACCGAGCTGGAAGGCTGGGAAGAGCTGGAAGATAATGAGAAGGAACAGATAAGCCAGCACATTGCAGGTGGGTGGGGAACTGGTGCTGAGAGAAAGGAGGGGGAGAGTAGGACCCCATTTTTTTTTCCTCCCTGCCTGCCGCCTTCTTTTTTGTTGTGTTTGTTTGTTTTTTTTTTTTTTAACTTTTTGAAAACATTTCCAAACTCACAGAAGAGTTGTGAGGATAAAAAAAGAAAAAAAGAAAGCTCTTACTCCCTTTCCCCAGACATACCTGTTGTTACGATTTCGTTGTCTTTGCGTTATCATTTGTGTTCCTGTGCTGTTACTCTCTCTGTCCACGTGCGCAGTTTTCTTCCTGACCCATTTTAGAGTAGGTTGCATACGTTATGGCCTTGGCCTTGAAGTACTTCAGTGTGTATATCTTAAGAATAGGAATATTCTCTTATGTGACCGTAACAGTTATCAGCTCCAGTAAATCAATGCCTTATATAATACTTTCATCCACCATCTGTGTTCAGTTGTGTCAGTTGGTCAAACAGTATCTTTTTTTTTTTTTTTTAAATACTTATTTTTGAGACAGAGAGAGACAGAGCATGAACGGGGGAGGGGCAGAGAGAGAGGGAGACACAGAATCGGAAGCAGGCTCCAGGCTCTGAGCCATCAGCCCAGAGCCCGACGCGGGGCTCAAACTCACGGACCGCGAGATTGTGACCTGAGCTGAAGTCGGACGCTTAACTGACTGAGCCACCCAGGCGCCCCTCAAACAGTATCTTTTATAGCTTTTGTCTCTGGTACAGAATCCCACTCTAGGATCCAGTATTGCATTTTGTTGTCTCTTTGTCCTCCTTAATGTGGAACATTTCAGTAGTCTTTTTTTTTTTTTTTTAAATGCCGTTGATATTCTTAAAGACTAGAGTACCTACCATCACACCTTCTTATCTTTCAACTTCTTATCCTATGGACTCACAGGTTACTTTTTCCTGGTGGCTTGTAATTTTATTGTATTTTATTAATTTGGTATTTATCCCATAGTTGGCCACTTGGGAAACCCCTTTGAGGGGGTTTCTGTGTCCTAGATGCCTCATCATTTTTTATTTATTTATTTATTTATTTATTTTTTAATATATGAAATTTATTGTCAAATTGGTTTCCATACAACACCCAGTGCTCATCCCAAAAGGTGCCCTCCTCAATACCCATCACCCACCCTCCCCTCCCTCCCACCCCCCATCAACCCTCAGTTTGTTCTCAGTTTTGCCTCATCATTTTTTAAAATGTTTTTTAAAAAACTTATTTTTATTTTGAGAGAGAGAATGCACACGTGTGGGGGGGAGGGGCAGAAGGAGAGAGAGAATCTCAGGCAGGTTCCACGCTCAGCACAGAGCCCAATGTAGGGCTCGATGCCATGATGCTGGGATCATGACCTGAGCCCAAATCAAGAGCTGGATGCAGGGCGCCTGGGTGGCTCAGTCGGTTGAGCGTACGACTTTGGCTCAGGTCATGATCTCACGGTTTGTGAGTCTGAGCCCTGTGTCGGGCTCTGTGGTGACAGCTCGGAGCCTGGAGCCTGCTTCGGGATCTGTGTCTCCTTCTCTCTCTGCCCCTCCCCAACTTGTGCTTTGTCTCTCTCGGTCTCTCAAAAAATAAATAAATGTAAAAAAAAGTTAAAAAAAAAGAGTTGGATGCTCAACCGACTGAGCCACCCAGGTGCCTGTTTTTAAAAATATTTTACAAGAGCACACTTTATATACTGTATGTTAGCCAATTTGACAATAAATTATATTAACAAAATAAAATATTTTAAAGTACTTCCTTAATTTTCTGGCATAATGCTCTTAGGCTTACTTTAGTTTTTTATTTTATTTCCTTACTATTTTTAAGGTTTTATT